TGTTACAGCTTAAGAAGTGTTTGTTGCCAGGCACAGTGGAGCACAGCTGTCTTCCCAGCACCCCAGGAGGCTGAGGCAGGAGGATCACAAGTTCAACCCCAGCCTGGGCAACTTAGTGCCTTAGCAAGACTCTGTCTCAAAATAAAAAATAAAGGAATGAGGATGTAGCTCAGGGTGAGGGCCTTGGGTTCAATTGTCAATATGGGAAAAAAAAGGAAAAAGAAAAAAGACACACTTGTTGAAGGACAGGGCAAATGTCACGGGCCGCTCCTCCAGGGCCGGCCACCCTTCCTCTGGCATCAGCTCTCAGTCCTGCTCAGCAGCAGCCAGAGTGGCCTCTCTTGTCAATTTGCTGCCTGATGAACCCTCCAAGGACTCTGGACTCATGACTAAAGTAAGAGGTGGATGGTGTCCAGGAACCCTTGGGAGACAGCCTTCCTTATCTCCTGACATCATATAGGGGCCACGGACATCATTCATCCTGTTCCAACTTCCTCCAGCGATGCTCCCTTGTCACCCATGTGGATAGAGTCCCTCCACTTAGACCATGTCCTTTCTGGGCCCAGCCTTTGCTCTGATTCTTTGCTCTAACTGAACTGCTTGTCCTGGCCACATCTGCCTGTCCCAGGTTTTAGCCACGCTGTACAATCTAACATCAACGCTGCTCCTTTCTGGTTTCCCCTTCCCCAAAGAGAGTGGTCCCCATCCTCCTATAACGCATTGTCTGAGTCTCCTTCCGTGTCTGCCTCCTGGGCTGTGCCATCTGCACTAACCCCTCCTGGCAGATAGGTACCCGGTCTCTCGAGCACAAGATTGGCCTGAAGCCCATTCTCTGAACAGATCCAAGCTGGTCCGCTGCTAGGCTGGTTGGAAACCAGCATGGGTTTTCCTGTGACCCGTCCAAAGTGCATGCTTCTAATAGTGGTGTGAGAGGAGCGAGCTGTTCTCTAGGGCATTTTTAAAAAAGGATGGTTCTTTAATGAGGTCCTTGCTGCTTTGAACTGTTCCGGTGCTTATGTTTTATAGGTATTGATTTTTGTGATCATAAAAGTAACGCACAATTATTTTAAGACTGTGGGAGCATTGTGGAAATGTGTGGCTTGGAAGGGACAAGCGCTCCTGCGTAGATCCTCTCACTTCGTTGCTCCTTTGCATTCCGTCTCCTGTCCTCAAAGGGGGGCCAGTGACCCAGTACTCTGGGGCAGTACCAGCCTCTTGTTCAACACCTGCTAGGGCACTGTTTGCTAGGACTTGACTTCAGAGGGTGGGCTGGCTCAAGGAGCATGTCTTTGGGGGGCAGCAGCAGCACCCTGAGACCTGGCAGTGTGTAGTGGGGAGTGGGCACTGCCATCTAGGAGCTAAGAGAACTGGGGCTGGCCCTCATCTTCACCTGTGGAGTGGGAATAAGGAGACCACGTCCACCGGTTGCAGAGTGAGAATAGGACTGAAGAGTGAGACTGTAGGGGGGAGGGAACATACTGTCTGAATTCTAGGGATCATCATTTGGTTTTGGAAAATGATTATTACTATAAGCAGCTCCCTTGGGCTTCTGAGCCAGTAGACTCGAGTCATTATTTACACACACACACACACACAATGACGTAGACACTGGGATATTTGCAAGTGTCCCTGGGATGCCCAAGCAGAAGCATGAGTTCCGGGAGAGGTGGGCACTCATGACCAGGGCCTCCAGACCCACAGAAAGAGCAGAGAGGGCAGAAGAGGAAGAGGAAGACCAAAGCAGCATGGGGAAAGGGTCTCTAAGGCCCGTCTGCAAGCAGCACTGTGCCTTCCCCTCAGCACCCCGAATCCTGTCAGAGTGCCATGGGAACACTGATATTGTCAGGCCTCTCTGCACTGCTCCCCCCTGCATTGCCCTCCCTGCTGGGAGAGGGGGTGTTTGGGGTCTTAAGGTGTCAGGGAGGGGCAGTGTGGAAAACAGAGACAGGAGAAGTCAGGGAGAGGTGAGCTGTGCGTGAAACAAAGGCCGAAAGGGCCCCAACTCAGAGCCTGCCTTTCGCTCAGTTCTGCACAGCTGCATTTCCGGCATCTCCACACCTTTGACTGTGCTCTCCCACACCACAGCCAGGGAGCTGGCAGGACACCTCGCACCTCCCCTGCCTCGCTCAGGTCTGTGCTCCAGCTTGTGATGCTGACGCTGTGTGGGAGCAAGGTGGGGATGCCTCGGAAGGAGCATGGCAGGGAGGACTTCTCTGGGTCAGGGGGCGCTGGCATGCCACGGTCCTCATCTGGCCTGGCCCGTGCAGGTGTGGAGCGGAGAGCTCCGGGGAGCTGGGGTGCTGCTGGCACACACACTTCCACCTCTGGGAGTCTTCAGTTGCCTGGCTGCCCTGGTTCTTCTTCAGCCTCACACCACCATCCTGGGGTTTCCCTCTGCCCCAGAGGCAGGGGCCTTGCTGGGTGAGAGGTCGATTCCTGTGTTCCAGCCCCAGCTCTGCCTGTCCTTTGTGACACTGCACAAGTTAACTAACCTCTTGGTGCCTCCAGTTCCCCATCTACAAAACGTCGTCTCAATCATTGAGGGAGGGATGAGTTCACGGACACGATGCTCAGGACTGTGCCCGGCCCTTCTGAGTGCTATCCCTGTGTCGGCTGCCTGCTTTACTGTCATTGGTGGTCCCTCTCATTTGATCCACCCCACACACAGGAATACACCACAGCAATTTAGTCCTTGAGCCCCTTTCCGTTTTCTGAGCAGTTGTGTTCACGTTGAGGGATCCAGGCAAAACCAAGGGCCAGCTGACTCTGCAATTTTCCCAAACTTTGTCATTATAAGAGAAAAACATGCACCTGAAATCAAATATGGAAAATACCCAAAAGAGGATAAGAGAGAAATTTCGAAAGTCACTGGTAGATAACCCTTTTACCACTGACAATTTTCTTGTATCGCCTTCCTGGCTTATATATGTGTATGTGTGAGTACAACGGCCAGTAGAGCCTTGATTTCATTTCTTAAAAAATGCCTGGAAGAATATTGTTCACATTGTGCTTTCATCATCAAATACTCCACTGTGAACATTTTCTGACATCCTGAAATATTCTTTGGAAATGTCCAGATTTCTATCTTTAGATGGAAACCTTTTCCCAGCTTCAAAACTGCATAGCCAAATGCGGGGGCTTCCCATGGCGGGGGTCAGTGTCGCAGGATCGGTGTGGCCAGGGCCAAGCTCTGGGGCCCATGAGCTGCTTTGTCTGCCTCCTCTGCACCTCTGGCCTCTTCCCCCAGTCTGCCTGGGCCCTGTCCCGTGCTGTGTGCTCTGTCACCACCCTCACCCCAGCCCCTGGCCTCCCGCCTGTCAGGCTGGACAGTGTCAGACTTGGTTGTGTCTCCAGCCCCTGGTCCTGTGTCCTCCTCACTCACCCTCATCACCACAGCTCTACTTCCTGCCCTGCTCAGCCCGCACCTTGACTCTGCGGTGGGCATTAACTTTCTTCCGCATAGAAAATGATGCTAAGCCTTTCCCTGACTTTCTTCACTCCTGATCTCTCTGGCTCCAACCTGTCCCACATACTCCTGCCAGGACGGTCTTCCTGACACGTACCCCATCCCGCTCCACACCTCTAGGGTTACCTCCCACCCCATGGCCTGTCTGATGTGTCAGATGCTTCCATCTGGCACTCCAGGGCCCGCCCAGCACACACACATGCCTGCTTGGGCCTGTCTCCTTCAGTCCAAGGACTCTGTGTTCCAGCCAGGTTGTAGCCCGAGGGTGCACTTGCCTCAGCACCTACCTCAGGGTGTTCCCATTGTTCAGAATGCTGTCACCCTTTGTCCTCTTTGGGGAGTTCTACCACCCTGAAGGCCCAACTCCAAGGTACATGAGGTACACCCTCCTTGGCAAGTTTCCTGGCTGTCCCCAGATATTTTCCCACCTTTGAACTCCATGCACTGCCTTGTGCTTCCCCTGAAGTCCTTTGGCTGTCATAGCTATTGCTGCACTCGCTTTGTACTCGTGGTGAGACAGTTGAGTCCCGTGTTGACTCTGTTCCAGTCATGTGACCTTGGGTAAGTCATTACCGCTCTGACACTCCACTTTCTCACCTGTAAAGTAGGAGCTAATAATATATAGTGACTTAACAATTGAAAGATACCCAGCAAGGATTAGCACAGTTTCCGGAACATGGTGAGGACTAACAGCAGCAGTTTTCATGGCAGTGCAGACTGGCCATCCTAGCACTCTGGGAGGGCAGGATGGGAGGATGGCAAGTTCAAGCCCAGGCTGGGCAGCTTAGGGTCTTAATGAGACCCTGTCTCAAAATAAAAAAATGAAGGGCTGGGGATGTAGCTCAGGGCAAAGGCTCTGGATCCAAATGAAAAATAGAACCCCGCAGTTGTTATAACTCCACCCAGCCCTCTCTGGGGCCATCCATGGAGCCTTGCCTGCCCTCAGATGGTGCTGAAGGCTTTGAGTCCAGGGGAGCAGATGCGAACACCGGTCTCAGCTCATCAGCCTGGTGGAAGGTGACAGAGCATCAGTCCTGCCTCCCTGTGAGCTGACGGATGGTCTCACTGCCTTGGCTTTGGCAGCAGAGCCTCTCCCAGTCATCGCTGCCCCTGCATTTAAGCTTCTGGGGCCCCTTTCATGGTGTTTGTTTGACACTACAGAGACCACATCCCGAATGGAGCTTCTTTGTAGCTGACCGAACTAGTTCCCAGGTCTTCAGAGGGGCTTGATTGAAAGGGGATTTAGGGTAAACTCAGAGAAGTTCAGGCAGCTAGGAAAGAGAGGAGACTCCCTGCCCTAACCTTTGAGGAAAGTCTTTTGGTGACTGCCTGGTTGATCTGGGACTGTATCTGGCGTAAACAGGTCAAGCTGCAACAGAGACTCGGCCATGTTCCTCCCTCGAAGGTCAGCAAGGCTGTACCCGAAGTTGTTCCTAGCTGTTGAGCCACCACCTCACTTTTCCCCAGACTAATGAGTTTTTAGTCACCACTAGCCCGTCCCCAGTGACAGCCTTTCCTGTGTTTTCTCTTACAGCCAGGCGGCACTCCAGAGTCCGGCCCAAGATGCCGCTCCTGCACTATGCCTCTCCGCTGACCACGGTTAGCCGGCCAGTGAACGAGATGGCTCTGACCCCACTAACAGAGCAGGAGGGAGAGGCCTACCTGGAGAAGTGTGGCAGCGTCCGGCGGCACACAGTAGCCAACGCCCACTCGGACATCCGGTTGTTGGCCATGGCCACCATGATGCACTCAGGCTTAGGGGAGGAGGCTGGCAGTGAGGACAAGTGTCTGCTCTTGCCTCCCCGCTTCTCACCGCCTCACCGGCAGTGCTCTAGTGAGCCCAACATCACTGACAGCCCTGATGAACTGCAGGAGGCAGCTGTGGATAGCCAGGAGGACGCTGAGCTGAACTGTGCATCCCTCAGCTGAGCTGCTGCTACAGGACTTCCTAGCTGCTGCTTTGCAGCTAGGATGAGGACAGCCAACCCCATAGACCACCCCTCCTGAGGGCAGTGCTGCCTTATTCCTTCTCGGGTGCAAGCCTGGCCTCAATGCCCTGTAGGGAAACCCTTATAAACACCTTCATTTTGACCAGCTCTTCACAGTGACACAGACCCAACTGCCTGCAGTGCCCTTTCTGATCTCCAGCCTTGTCTGGCTGACTTGGATCTTCATCTCTGGGCCTTTCTTCCTCTGATACTGGACTGATACCAACGCTCCAAGGGATCCATCCCAATGCTCCTGGAATTAAGGTGGCAGGGGGTTGTCCGGACCGCACCTAAAGCTGTCAAGAATGTGCTGGTCTCTGCAGCTCCCTCTTCATGCTCCTTTAATGCAGAGGCTTATGGATACAGAGTAGTGGAGAGGTTTTATGTAGAGTGAGTCAGCTGCATCCTCTGCCATGTAAGGCCCTGGGAACACACCCTCCTTGAGTTTCCAGATTACTGGGGTGGCACTGCTCCATGTTGAATGTGGGTCCCTTCTCACCTACAGCCCCACACAGCGTGCTGGCTACATGAAGGCCTTTGGCTTTTGGCCCAGGACAGCCGGAGACTGAAGTGGCTCCATCTGTCATTAAGCCTCAGCGCTTCCCTCGGGCTGGCTCCCAAGCTCAAGGAAGTAACCTCCTTCGCAGTCACTGGTGCCTTAATCCCCTTCACTTCAGAAAGACCACTTTCCTGTTGTGGGTGTGAGGGCTGGGTGATAGCAACCAATTAGTCTGTACCTGGGTTTGACTTGAATTTGTAAAACATGTACTGTTTCAAAAAATTGTTTGCAAATATTTGCACATAGAAAATTACACTGTTCATTTCCAGTGGGCTGTGTCTTCAAACTAAAACAGCATGCAGACCCCTGGGAAAGGAGAGCAGGGGTGGCTCAAAATAAAGTGAACTATAGCGGGCTGGGCTTATGGGCCACAGAGCTCCGGAAGCAGCCGGCCTTGAGTCCCAAATGGTCCTTGTTTGCGGTGGTCGTGGTCTCCAGGAAAAGGTGCATTGGGTGGGGAGACTGCCTTGTGAGCAGATGGAATGTGTCTATGCCTGCCGTCAGGGGAGGCAGTGGAGATGTGGGCAAGATCTCTTTGAGGGATGTTGATTTTCTGTGATTGCATCAGTGTACCCAGAAGTGCCTGGAATTTCTAACGTCCCAGGTCTCAAGTGCTATTTGAGGCAACAAACTCTGAACTGTGCTGTGTCCTTCTTACCATTCTCTCCAGATGTGGAGGCTTTTGATTCACCTTGAGTCCCTGACCTCCTCTTTGTCTTCGTCCGTTGGCCCTACTGATAGCAGTTCAGGAAAAAGAAAGTTCCCCTTGACTCCTCTGGTTCCACATGGTGGCTTTTCAGGGTCCTGTTTATGGAAGTTTTGTGTATGAAATCTCAAAATACTCACCACAGTGGCTCCCAGTGTGGTAAGAGAGGCCTGGGAGAGGATGGGGGAACATTTAAGCCACCACCGGGAGATAAAACCTTCCAAGCTCATCGAAGCTTTGACAGTGTTTTCCTTCTGAGTGAAGGTCTGAACTATGACTAGAATTGTGGTTTTGATGGCTTCTCACTTGGAAATTTGGTTTAGAAAGTTGTTTTAATTTCATCCTTCTAAGAGAATGATGGAAAAGAAGTGTCCAAAGGAGATCTGAAAATTTACACACACACACACACACACACACACACACACACACACAATGTCTGTGCATGTGTTGTATAAAGAATGACATGCATTAGCAAATGGAACACCAGTAGGTAACGGCATCATGATTTATTTAACTCCTGGCTTTTGTATTTGTTAGTACACCTAGCACACACTTGGGACTGCTATTTATTGATTGGGCAAAGTAATTAATCATGCTTGGGTTTGTTTATAAGATTGATATCTATTTTTAAAATACCTTTTCTATATCTTGACTTTGATGAGGAGAGTGGCCATCAGTTACATATATAAGCTCTCAGGTTGAGAATTGGAGGTAGTGAACTTAATTGCTGCTGTCAGCCAGTTTACAGCTTTCTCTTTGTACACACCTGTTAACAATACAGTAAATATTTCAGGCTGTTATACACATAACATTTTGTGGATGTTTAGGGGCATTTTAGCCATCACACCTATTGCAAGAGTGATACTTGTGAGCATTTCTGACCACTTTTCTTTCCTTTGTGCAGTGAATATTCATTTTTATTATTTATGCCATGATTTTCCTGTGGCTGAGGTTTAATGACAGGAAGCAGTCACAGCTAACTGAGTGAACTACAAACCAAAACCCTTCATCCATGTCATCTGTTTCCAAAGTGGACCCAATAAACATGTTGTATGTGTTACTCTGCTGCCGAGCTGGGTGCCTCAAGTGTGTCTGGATTGAATTTTCAAGCACAGCAGTCAAATTAGGTCTTGGTGCATCCTGTTCCCAAGCTCCCTGCTCCTGCGTGACTTGCTGCCTCACCCCTTTTCCTGCAGCCCATTCTCTAGCGTTAGACAGTGGCTTTACCTCAGTTAATCTCTGGGTTTTCCTTGCCATCCTGGAGTGGATAGGCAGATCATTTCCTAGAGAAACAAACTGTGTGTGGAGTTTAGAAAATACTGAAAAGTGCATGGGAAGCAAGGACTCTTTTCTCTCTCTCTCTTTTTTTTTTTTTGGTACCGGAGATTGAACTCAGGACCTTGCGCTTGCAAGGCAGGCGCTGGCACCACTGAGCTAAATCCTCGGCCCTAGCAAGGCCTCTTTGAAAACAATTCCTAGAGTATTTGACCTAGGTGGGACACTAAGTATGGTTACTCATGTACTCTTCATATATTCCCCTCTGATTCTGATGGGCAGAGGGAATTTACATTTTGAGCCCTCATAAGACTTAAGAGCACTGGAAGATGTGTGATCCGAATTGTTTATGTTTTGCTGAGCCTCCACAGGCTGTTACTAAACAGCCATGGAGCAGCTGACCTCAGGAGGTTTCGAATCACTGGTGCCTCCATGACATTAGCACAGTGCCACAGTCATTCCACCCATTCATCTACCCATCTCGTATTTTGTGGGGCTCTCACTATGATTCAGCACTTTTCTTGGTGCTAAGGATACAGTGATGGACAAATAACCAGGATGCCAGCTCCTGTAAGCTCACTGTCCAGTGAGGAATGCTGGAAATCAGGTCATTATCAGCATTTTAAATAACGAACATAATGGATAGTAAAGAACCAATGACTAGAGGTGACAAGAGGGTGACCATAGGTAGGGTGGCTGTGAGAGTCCTCTTGGAGTTGACTTAGCTGAGATCTATGTGACAAGAGGGACCCAGGCGTAACACTGCTTTCAGTTCCTGTCACTGCCATAACAAGCCTTTGTAACTTAAGACAATACACATTTTATTAACTTGGTAACTTAAGACAAGACACATTTGGAATCTCACAGTTTTATCTGTGGTATCTGTCTGATGTGGGTCTCCCTGGGCTTTTCAGAATTAAGGTTTTGTCAGGGACACATTACTTTCTGGAAGTGCCCAGGGATAATATTTCCTTCTCTCTGCCAGCTTCTCCAGGTTCATGGCTTCTTTCACCACTTTCAAAGCCAGCAACGAGTGAATGGTGGATCGAGTCCCTCTTGGGTCACTCCAACCTACAGTTTTCCTCTTCCAGTTTTAAAGACCCTGGTAATTGCATCAGGCCCCCTGGGTGACCTGTGTAATCTCCCATCTTGAGGCCCTTAACTTAATCACATGTATAAGTCCCCTTTGCCTTATGATACTCCTTGGTTCTGAGGATTAGGATGTGGATGTCTTGGGTGTGGGAGTTGGTTATTGTTCTTCCTACCACAAGATCCTCAGGTTTTGCCTCCTTTACTGATTGATTACTCTTTTGTGGGCAGAAAGTTCCTGGCAGACCACCTTAGCCTGCTCAGGAAGTTCCTTGTCCTCGTGCTCATCTGTAAGGTCTCATTTCAGTGAAAAAAATTTTTGGGAAAAATGACAATAGGAAAACAAGATAGACAAAAAAGTCTTCCCTAAGGGTTCACCCATGTTTGTGCTGCCTAATGAGCTGTAGTAAGTTCACTGAGCTCTTCTGAAAGTCCCTAGATGGCCTTGTGCCCCTGCCCCGCTGGCCAGAGATCCCCAGTATCCCCTCTGACATTCTCCTTTGGGTCTCCCTTATCTCCCCAGTGGAACTCAAGCTTTCTGTGTGCAGCCTTTGCTGCCCTTCTGCTAGGCCAGCCATGTGGTCTGCTGGGACCCTGTGAAGGCAAAGCTGCAGTGTGTGGGTGCTAGTTTCAGTGTTTGGGGCAGACTGGGTACCCTGACCCAAGGGCCTTAAAGCCCGACCCTTACCCACTGTGGCCTGGACTCCCACAGTGACCAAGATTCTAGACTGCCTGGTTCAAGTCTTTCACTTCCCATCTCATTTGCCTATCAGGCCTCAACTTCCCTCATCTAGGCTTCTACAACTTAAGTATTTCTGAATTTGTCTTCAGATTCCATTTTTCCCTTGTAGATATTCCAGTGGATGTTTCTAAAATGCAACTCCTGTTTTAAAACTTTTCCCTGGCTTTGTATGAAATCTACACACCCAAGCCGTTACCTTTCTGGCCTTATCGGCTGTTATCCAGACACCTTATTCACTGTGCTGGGAACATGTCCCCCACCTTCTCACTCCCCTGCCTTGCTCCTGCTGTGCCTTCTCCTGGGGCCCCTCTGCTTCTTGTTCCTCTGTACATTCTCAGGTGTTCTCTCAGGAAGGTGAGGATGTGGAATTTGTATTTGCAGACCTTGGGTCTCGCAATCCAGATGGAATAATTCTGATCTCCATGACTTCCCTCCCAGGTCACTCCTCTTCCTTTTCCCTAAGCAAGGGTCTTCCCCATAATCCATGCTGCAAATAAGCCTAAAAGGCCAAGAGTTCCTGTGAACACAGGTGGGGCTTGGGATCCGAACCCCTTCTGCTCCAGTCAGTGGCTGCTACCTTCCCGCAGAGAATGAACCCTGTCCATGGGGCTGCTGTTTTGCTTTAGAGCCCGTGGCTGGCCTTGGCCTGCCCCCTGTTTGCCATAGGCTCATCTCTCTGGAGAAACCCTCTCACCAAGCATAGGAAAGTGACCCGAGCCAGTGTGCTGTGGCCAGAATGTTCTCGCACTCACTCCTCTCTCTCAGGAGGACTCAAATTCTACCACCTCTTGTGTGAGCCCTGTGCTGATCCTCATGACAACCTTCACAGGCACTTTGCAAATGAGCAAACTGAGGCTGGGCAGGATGGGGCCCTAGGTTCTTTCACCTCAAGTCTGTTGTCCTATCCCACGAGGTGTCCTGGCTGGATAAGAACTGAGGAAGGGGAATAGCTAAGCCAAGGGCCAAACCCCCTCAGCCTGCTACAAGGCCAGTGAAGGTTTCAGATTCCAGAAACACCAGGGACCAAAGCTGTATCTCTTGTTCCCTCTCCTTTTGCTCTCTCACTTCTAGAGAGTTTGTGGGGTAAGGAGATTGGTGTCTTAGACAAATTTAGGTAGGAAAGATTTCAGGGGCTTTTTCCCCTTAGAAATTAATATTAACTTTAAATATGGCTTTAAAATAATATTTTAAGTTTAATAATTACTAATTGTTTAATAAAAAGTAGTAATTTTTTCCTCATAATCAATATTCAAATTCAAACTTGTTTTTTAGGTTTCTAAGTTCAGCTCACAAATTTCATTATTCTAAGTCTAGCAGATTTTAGCATTAACTGTAGAGGAGCCTTTGAATACTGCTTGGTCCTTTTTATAAGTTTAGTACTTCAAACACTTAAATAAAATTGCAAATTTAACATTATTTCTTTTAAAAATACTTCCCTTTTTCTGTCAGCAAGCAAA